ATTTTGTTAACTTTTATTTATAATTGAGAGACAGAGAGAGACAGAGGATGAGCAGAAAGAGGGGGAGACACAGAATCTGAAGCAGGCTTCAGGCTCCAAGCTGTCGGCACAGAGCCCGACGCGGGGCTCAAACTCACGAACCGCGAGACCACGACCTGAGCCAAGTCGGACGCCCAACCGACTGAGCCACCCAGGCACCCCTGTCTATTTATTCTTTAACTTGTTTATATCTGTGTCTCCCTGCTGGTTTCTCAGTTACGTGAGGACAAAGGTCTTGCTTTCTCATTCACCGCAACACCCCTCGCACCCGCTGAACAAATGAATGTGGGGCACTGAGCACTATTCTTCTTCGGTGCTTGGCTCTGCATTGGCCCTTTAGGACATGCCCTGGCAATAACAGTTATGATCTCATTCTCCACTTAGCAGCTGCCAAGTGCGTGCCGGGCATGCATTCCACGCATGAGTCTATTGGTTTCCCTCCCTAAGCTGGACGTTCTATTTTTATCCCCATTTCTCAGGTGAAGGAACCAAGGCTCGGAGGTACAGCGACGTGCCCAGAGTCCCATAATTAGCAGTAGGACTGGCCTTGAAACCCAGGCACCAAAGCCCTTGCTCTTAACTGCTTGCCTCTTCTGTCTCTGGGAGCACGGAGAACAGCTGTGCTCCGGGGGGAAGAGCTTGGATCCTGCCACCGAAAAGTACAAAGTCCGGGTCTTTGCAGAATGCAGTCTTTTTGTCTTGTGCGAACGCCACCAAGAAAAACGGCTGGCTGTTTCTCCGTGGATGCTGTGTTGGGTCCATTCGGGTCTCTCCCCGAGCCCCCAAATTCATGTGTTGAACCTCTAACCCCCCCCCAGAATATGACCTTATTTGGAAATAGGGTCATTGCAGCTGTAATTAGTGAAGATGAGGTCATACCGGAGTAGAGTGGATTCCTAATGCAAAATGACTTGTAGCCTCTTAAAATGGGGAGGTTTGGAGGAAGACAGACATGCAGGGGGCACCGTGTGAAGGTGAGGGCAGAGATCCGGATGATGCACGGACATGCCAAGGAATGCCAAAGACTGCCAGATGACCAGCAGAAGCCGGGAGAGAGAGGCAGGGAACAGATTCTCCCTCACAGCCTCGGAAGGACCCGCTTCTACTGACCCCTTGATATTAGACTTCCAGACTCTAGAGCCGTGAGACAGTATATTTCTGTTGTTTAAGCCACTCAGTCTGTGGGCACCTGGGTGGCTCGGTCCGTGAAAGGTCAGGTCATGATCTCACGGTGCCTGGGTTCGAGCCCCGCATGGGGCTCTATGCTGAGAGCTTGAAGAGTCTGCTTGGGATTCTCTGTCTCCGTCTAGCTCTCCGCCCCGCCCCGCTCACGTGCTGTCTCTCATTCTTTCAAAAATAAGTAAATAAACTTTTTTTTTTTTTAATTAAGATAAAAGCCTGGAGGACTGGGGGCGCCCAAATCTCCAAGTTTTTAAATCCTGGCAGACGCTGGGGCGCCTGGGTGGCTCAGTCGGTAAACCCGCTCAGGTCATGAGTTCAGCCCCTCCCCGGGCTCTGTGCTGACAGCTCAGAGCTTGGAACCTGCCTCGGATTCTGTGTCTCCCTCTCTCTCTGCCCCTCCCCTGCTCGCTCTCTACGTGTGTGTGTGTGTGTGTGTGTGTGTGTGTGTGTGTCAAAAATAAATACTCAAAAACAATGTTTTTTAAGTTTAAAAAAAAAAGTCCTGGCAGACGCTTCAGAAACCTTCAAACCGCCAGACACACGCGTCTGTGGCTGGGTTTGGCCCCTTGCAAGCTCGTGTCCCCTGCTCTGATTTTGGCGAGCCAGTTACAGTTGATGGGCAAGTCGAGCCAGCTGCTTGGACAGCTCCCCGGCAATCAGTCAGGGTGAGGGATGTCCCTGAGGATTTCGGCGTTGAGGTCAGATGAAGCTGCACCGATCTATCGATCTATCGATGTGATCCGTCGTGCCTCCCTCTCCCCCACCCCCAACACAGATAAGATGGGGGGGGCTGTCCCCGGGGCTTTCCCAGGCTGAAGCAGGAGAAATGGTAGACATGTGATGAAGGAGACCGCCAGGAGTGAAAGGGGCGCGTGAAGTCAGGAGGCAGACCGGGCTCTGGAGCCTGAGGCCGGGGCAAATCTTTCCCCTGCTTCCTGCTTCAGTTTACCCCTCCTGCAAAATGGGCCTCCGGCTGCCTCCCCTAGGCAGGTTCAGTGAGCCGGGGTGGCTGAAATCCGGGTGGAAGGGCTCAGGAGGGTTGTCTCCTCCTCCCGAGCCCCGTAAAGAGAATGGTTGGTTTTCTGAGGGCGCATCTCATGTCTTCTTTGCAGAAGTGTCACCCTCAGTGTTGTTGGGAGACCAAAGGGCATTAATCCATGTCAAGCATTTAGAACAGCGTGTAGGACACAACAACATTCAATAAATACCGGTCATTATTACTACTACCACTAGAATTTGGTACCTATAAAATATGTAACATTATATATTATTAATTTGTTAATATATAATGTATGTTATACAATATATATTATGTAAAGTGGCATACAATACACGCGAGCATCTCTCTCCAAATATATATGTATACGTGCATGGATGTACATATATTTTGTATACATATATATGGAGAGAGATAATAGAGATCTATAGTATATCATATAACATTATTTTATATATGTAATATATATGATTATAATATAGCTTTCAAGAACCCTAGGCTGGAAGAGCTTTTCTTATCCCCATTTTTGCAATATATATTATAATATGCACATATACAGGTCACATATATACATATGCATGTACTTAGAGGCATATATATTACATAGCCTGGCACACAGTAGGTATTAAAAACTACCATCCAGTACTTAGCAAATTTAGGGTCCATATTACTTCTGTATCCCATAGCACCTAACCTAGTTCTTTTTTTTTTTTTTTTAACAATGAACGCTTTATTTTTTTTAACGTTTATTTATTTTTGAAAGAGAGAGAGAGAGAGCAGGGGAGAGGCAGAGAAAGAGGGAGAAAGAGAATCCCAAGCAGGCTCTGTGCTGTCAGTGCAGACCCTGACTCGGGGCTCGAACTGACGAGCCGTGAGTTCATGACCTGAGCCCAAATCAAGTGTCGGATGCTCAACCGGCTGAGCCACCCAGGCGCTTCCCTAACCTGGTTCTTGATACACAGTAGATGCTTAGAAAATGCTGTTCTGACAACCTCAGCCCCAAGTGCTGTACCCGACATCTATTTCGTGCCAGGAAATGCCACCTCTCTACTTAACTTCTCGTACATCTCCTAACTGTACTAAAAGAAAATACTGAAATCCCAATTCTGCCCCTTCCATGCTGAGTGATCTTTGGCTGGTCCCTTTCCCTCTCTGAACCACACAGTTCTCCACCTGCAAAACAGGTGGAGAGGTTCTGCCCCGTGGGGGCTCTGCCCCCTGTCCCGAGAGGGCCTGCGACCCCAGGCACGGCCTCGACCCGGCCCCGGAGCCTTACCGATGCTCTCTGTCTGCAGGTAGCACTTGTTGCCCAGACAGTACCGCCACAGGCCCTGGTGGGCAAAGGACCCGGACAGCCGGTACTGCATCCAGTGATCTGTCGCCGTGGCCACCACCAGGAGGATGGTCCCCACCCAGGCACAGAAGAGGCCGCCACCCATGAAGCTGTACATGGTGATCTAGGGAGAAGGCGAGAGGTGGGGTCAGGAGCTGGACTCCTGGGTCCCGGCAGAGGAAGGGACTGGGGGCCTGGACTCCCAGATCCCGGGTGACCAGGGGGCTAGGGGCTGGGACAACAGTTCCCTGGGAGAGGAAGGAGCTGGGGGCTGGGCCCTTGGGTCCCGGGAGGAGGGGCTGGAGGCCTGGACTCCCAGATCCCAGGTGAGGAGGGGGCTAGGGACTGGGACCCCATGAGGCCCCTGGGAGAGGAAGGAGCTGAAGGATGGACCCCTAGATCTTGGGGGAGGAGGGGTCTACAGGTCTGATGCCTGGTCCCTACCTGAGTGGCAGAGCCTGTGACAAGCCTTCTGTCTGCCTCGGCCCTTCTGTGCAGACTGAGCCGAGCCAGGTTGCTGGCTTCTCTGCTGCCTGGGTCCCCCAAATCCCTTAAGCCTCCCCACACAATGGCCCCGTGGCCCAGAAGCTTCCAGCAGCTGGAAGTGCAGTGGTGGCAAAGGCCGGTGGCAGAGGCCCCAAATAGAATTCGCTGAAACAGGGATCCAGGCCCTCCCTCCCCGCGGCCCCGGCCACCCTGGCCTCTCTCTGTGACCCTCCCCACGACCTAACCCCTTTCACGGGCCTTGCTCACAGCACCCGCTGGGTTAGCCTGAGCTGCGTAAGCACACACACAGAGACACAAGATATGGGGCAAGTCTTCCATTTATTTTTCAACCAGGCTCCCGGCACCGAAAGGCAGGAAAAGGGCTGGGAGGTTGCAGGTCTGTTGGGCCAATGGGGTTCTCTGCCGGTGGGTCACAGGGCATGTCACGGTTGGGGCTGGGAAACAGGACGGGATGGGGCTGGCTGGGGTTGAAGGTGGACTGGACTAGGGCTCAAGTGTAGGACACAGTTGAGGGTTGGGTTGGGCCTGAGGTGGGTAGAGAAGCTGGGAGCAAGGGTGCAGATGGGGACAGAAATGGCAATGAGTGGGATTGGGAAGGTGGTATTGAGAGTGGGGACCGGAAAGGGCTTGCAGGGGAAGGTGGGGATGGGAGGGACTGAGGTTGTCACTGTAGATGGGGTTGGAATGGGGGGTGGGGAGTTGGGGATGGCTTGGGGCACGGGGGTGAGGCTCAGGGTTTTCTCTGGTGTGGGATCCTAGGTCGGGTCCATGTTTCATGGGGTGACTGGCAGGAGGCTATGGTTTTGGGGGAAAAGAGATGGGAGCACGATGTTTCTTGGGGCATCTCTGCCATAGCTGAGGTCGCCCTGGGGCTCCAGGAAAACCCTCCTGGTGACCCTGAGGGGCCCTCTCAGGAGTTTGGGGAGCTGGACCCTCAGGGTCCTAGTATTCTGAGTCCCAGTTTTCTGCTGCGGCAGCTGGCATGTCCTGGGGTGTCTCCCGACCTCCAGCTTCCGTCTTCCTATCCTGGGCAGGCAGCCTTGGTGGTGAGGCTGGCATCACCGGGGGAGTCTTGGGGCCAGCCCCAGACCCCCCCCGCCAGCCCTTCTCCGGCTGTTCCACCCTTCTGGGTCCCCATCGCGGCTGGCCTTGGCCCCGGCCTGGCCTGCGTCGGACGTCCCAGCCCCCACGTCCCCTGGATGGCCTCGTGGCGGTGCCTGGCTGGGAGCAACATGCCTGTGAGTTGCAGGGGCAGGAGGGCAAGCACTGTTGAAAGGTGTAGGCCCCCAGCAGGGCACTGTGCAGGAGGTAGGAGAGGGCGTCCAGACGGATGGGGACGGTGACAGAGGCCAAGCTCTCAGGGAGCCCCAGGTGGGCTGGATCTGGGGTCCCCAGGGGAAAAGGTGGCAAGGCTGGGAATGGCCCAGAGGGCCACGGCTCAGGCCCAGGTGATGGCAGGGACGGGTTGTTCCTAGAACGACAAGAGGACAGGTCAGCAGATCTCGGCATCTCTTTACGTCCTTCCTACTGTGGTCCCGCACTTCTCCTGGGAGTCCACTGAGCCGGGCATCCACCTCTGACCTCCTTATCCCCTTCTCTCCATTTCTCTCCCCCTCCCCCCTCCTTTTATTTATTTTTTTAATTTAGTTTATTTATTTATTTTTGAGAGAGGAGGAGGATCTCAAGCAGGCTCCGCACTGTCAGCACAGAGCCCGGCGTGGGGCTCGAATTCACTAAACTGAGATCATGACCTGAGCTGAAATGGAGTCAGACGCTTACCCGACTGAGGCACCCAGGTGCCCTCTTTCTATCTCTGTCTCATTCTTTCTTCCCGTCTCTCTTTACAGACAGACAGACAGACAGCTCTACCAGAACTTCAGCATCAGACAGAACCCAGCTCCAGGCTGCCTTGCTCACGGTGTGTTTCTGGGCTAATCATTTCCTTGTGCTGAACCTTAATTTTTTCACACCAAAAGATGGCCTCGCATAGTGGCAAAGGTGCATGTTAAAGACCTGGGTCTGACGATTATTATTACTATTTCAGTAATATAACAGCCCTGTGACTGTTCCTGACATCACCGATTTCTTCTCATTCCTTCTTGAAATTTCTCCCTGTTCCACAAACATCTGTGTCCCTATCCCTAAGTATCTCGCTCAGATCTGACCACAAGATCTCCAAGATTCTGTTTCTAACAACTGATGACACTGGAAAAAAAA